ATCTTCTGGACTGCAGTTTTCATAATCCTTGATTGTTGATATGCTGGCTGTGGTGGAGAACTCGAGTTAGGGAAAAAAGTTCCGAAGTGATAACTTACCTCCTACAGATAGGCTTGCCTTATTATCTCTGGCAGAAGCCAAAATTTAGGGAATCATAGTGTTTTATTAAACTAGTATGAAAGAGTGAATGCCCTTGGCTTGGGGTGCTGTCCTAGTCTGTCTTAATTGCCCTCTTTGCACTTTTACTCAGCTGCAAAAGCTTTCATCAAGTAACAGCAGTCTCCTCTGGCTTGACCATGCCACAGGAATGGAGTCTTCTTTGATATTTTATTACTGATGATTCTCATCTACAATTTGAGATCACCTGGTTCTGTTCTGTCTCCCAGCTTTTTTATCACTTGGCTGTTCTGCCAAGACAGCAGCTATGCCAGTCCTCTCATTTTCTGTCAGATGTTGAAGCAGTGATATTATTAGAAATGCTAGCTCCTAGGAAGGAAAAGAGGGATAAAAAACTACTTTCAGAACAAGTGAACCTCACTCCACAAGCCTTCTAGCCTTTGACACTATCTACCTAACATGAAAAATATTAAGGCCTTTTTATATTTGCTGGTGCTCAATCCTGATTACAGTATTGTCTCTGGACCAATCTTTGCTGATGAAATCCACATCATAGGGAGAAACTAAACATCCGCATTGCTGTTTTTTTGTCAGGCCCAGCCCAAGAATGACGACGAGGCAGTCCAGGCCAGTATAGTTCCTTTATTAGCTTGCACCTAATAGAAAGAATCTTGCCAGACTAAACCTATGCTAAAGCAACTAGTGGATATAGCCCGTGAGACTCTAGGGAGGGGCTAGTCACAACTTCTTCATCTTCTCATGGTCCTGCTGCAGGCTGAGGAAGCACTTGCCCTCTAACCTCTCCAGGAATGCTCCCCCTCCTTCCTGATAACCTTGATCCTCCATTCCAGTATCATCCCCATACATGCCTTCCATTACATTTTTATTAAAACAAGGAAGCATGGAATTTGGTCGGTGTTATCACTTAAGTTATTTTAAACTTCCATCTCAAATTTTAAAAATAAAAGAAGAATAATTGATTCTTTCATTTTTGATTCATCATTTTTTAGATGGAAGAATGAGTGTTAATAGCGTAGAGTCCACTTCTGTGTTGCAACTTAGAAAAGCTAGGTTTATTTAGAATCCTCCAAATAGTTATGTTGCCCATTTCAGTTGCCTCCATGATTTGAAGAAGTCTCATTGCTGGCCCTACCTCTGTAGTTATCATGGCAGAGGGATTTAAAGTTTGATAATGTTTAATAATTATAGTATATTTAAGATAGTAATTGTCTTTAACTTTAATATGAGTATAATTTTAAAGGTGTAGATCAGATAAATTTCTGCTGATGTGGGTTCCAGAAAATTCTGAACTAGGAAATTTAAACTGTAATTTTTTCTTTTTGCACTACAATGCAAAATTTTCTTTTTGCATTACAATTCATTAGATAATAGTCTAATGTACATTTTTATTTTACTGGTATTTTATTTTAAGTGCTTTGTAGCAAATACTGCATCCCGTGTTAATTATTTTGTTTAAATACATGAACATTTTGTAATTTGTGAAAAAAAAATTAAAGCCCTCAGTGTGATTTAGATAATGCCATTTAGTATAGAAAACTTTATTGGAAAAGTTGGAAACATTTAAATACAAGACTATCTTATCTTGCCTTATTTAAATTAAGAAATGTACTGAATTAGTACTGAAAATTGTACTAATAATTTTTGTGCACAATATATTGACAACCATGTACCTAATTTCAGATAGTTCATTGGATTTTTGTGGTACCTTCAGTTTTTCGGTGACTATTTGTTCCAATCATGGGCATTTGTGGGGGAAGAAAGTGACATTATGTACATCATGTAATAATGCAAAATGATGCAAATTCGTAATTCATGTCATTTGTGTGATGTCATGACAGACTGTCATTTCGACATCATTATGGCTTATGTTAGACTCTTCTGCCTCCAGTTCACAGAGAAAAGTCTGATTCAGAACTCACAGAAATTCAGTAAAAGCAAGACATTTTTGGAGATAAAGATAAATTTAAAGGTAGTCCTCAGGTTATGATGGCAATAGGGATTGGAATTTCTGTTGCTAAGTGATGCAGTCATAAAGTGCAACATCATGTGACCACATTGCTTAATGATGGTAGTCCCGGGTACGTTGTAACCCAGAGACCATGCAGGTCGTTGAGAGGACTTCATATGACCAGAGTCCTAGGCATGCGAGCTGTTGGATGAAAGTTGTGGGTGGTGAGTGCCATGGGTGGGTGCTACTGAGCATGGGCGGGCCAGCGGGGGCTGCAGGTGGGTGCTATGGAGTGTGGTGGGCTGGCAGGGATGTGCTATGGAGTATGAAATTCCTGAGATCTCATACTACATAGTGCAGCTCCTCGGGAGAAAAGTAGCAGGACCGGCTTACAGCAGCAACTTGCCACTTTCCCTACTGGCTTCCCCATTGCTTTGCTTGTGGGAAGCTGGCAGGGAAGGTCGCAAATGGCAATCATGTGACTGCAGCTCACTGCGACAATGTAATCATGAGCTGAGCACCCAAGCACCCAGATCACAAACATGTGACACTGGGGATGCTGCAGTAGTCAGAACTCTGAGAACTGGTTGTAAGTCCCCCTTGTTCAGGATCATTGTAATCTTGAACAGTTGCTGAACAAGTAGTCATAATCCGAGGACTACATGTAATACTGTGGGTTGCTGCATAAATATAATATTGCATGTGGTTCCATGCCTTGTTAACTACCAGATTGGTTTTGCTTCCCAAAATTTTACTTTTGTACTTTGGCCAGAGATATTTTAGGATCTTTGTAATTGTATTAAGAACAATGGAGAATTCATCTATTAAATGCTGTCTTCTGTGTGGAGGATTCAAAATATATGCCGATGAATGGGATAAGAAGAAAAATTTGATCTCTGAACAAACATTTTATCTTTTACCAAAGTAGTAGTCATCTTAAGATAAAGTAAAGTAAGATAAAATACACAGATACTAATTCATTTGTCTCAGTATCAGATAGGCTAGTGTATCTTTTAGGTTCTTCTTTTTGAGAAGAAAATTAGCTATAATACATCTGTATGACTGGTAGATTTTATATCAGTTGCTTTCAGTTGTTACAGACATAATGTTCAATAAGTAATTTCCTTTTATATCCATCCAATAGCAATTTTGCTTGAATAACTACTATTCAAGTAATTATTCTGGAGTCCTGATACTATGGGTCAGCCCATTTCTTGGTTCTATTGATCACTGCTATTTTATACTGTTTAGGTTTTTACAATTTTATTGTTTTTATTCTGTTTTTAATTGTTAGCCACCCAGCCATGTATATGTGGTGGGCAGCAATACAAAGGTATTAAATAAATATTTGAGCTCCCTATTCTCTTAAGAGAGACTGTGATAAATGACAACATAGTAGCATAATTAATGAGCAAATTTGAAACTTTAATTCAGTGCAGAGTTTTGGTTAGGAAAGATGGGTACTATTTGCAAATCAGTACACAGTTACAGGTAGTCCTCAACTTACGACCACAATTGGGACCGGAACTTCCATCACTAAGTGATGCAGTTAACTGAGTTGCACCTGATTTTACAATCTTTTTTGCCATGTTAAGTGAATCACCGTGGTTGTTAAGCAAATCCGGCTTCCCCCATTGACTTTGCTTGTCAGAAGCTCCCTGGGAAGATTACAAATGGCAGTCACTTGACTCCGGGACACTGCAACCATCCTAAATACATGCTGGCTGCCAAGTGCCTAATTTTTGATCACGTGACCACGGGGATACTGCAATGGTTGTATGTTCAAGGAACAGTTATAAATCACTTTTTTCAGCACCATCGTAACTTCAAATGGTCATTAAATGAATGGTCATAGTCGAGGACTATCTCTGTGTTAGTATGCCCTGTTCAGAATAAAATGACTTATATGAACTATGTCTGTTTTGATTTGTATAGAGTTGCTTTTTTCTTTGGTAGTCTTAACTGTGAAATAATAGAGTGTAGGAAGTCTTTGGACTTTAGAACAGGGGTCTCAAACTCAAATCATCACAAGCTGTTCATAAAAACTAATTCATTAGTTTGAGGGCTGCAACTTTGAAACTCTTATATGTTGATATAAGCTCTTGTAGTCACTGCAGAAGTTTCTTGACAGCAGCTGCTGGTAACAAGGAAGAGCTGCAGCAGTGGTACAGGGAACAAGCAAGTGGAAAGAGCAGGCTTGAATCCTGAGCTTGGCTCCGATAGCACATTTATAGGAGGCGAGACATGCAGCCGTCCTGTCTGGACATGGACCAATGCTTTCTTTCCAGTGTATAGCTGTGGCCTTAGTTTCTCTGATAAACTTGGTGAATTCCACGGTCTTGTACATCTCCATCAGTCTCCTAGTGTTTGCAGGAGGCCTGGGGAGGGTTAGAATTAGGATTAAAGTTAAAGATTTGGCAGTTCCTGTTTTGCTGTGGTCCATGAATGAGGTGCTTTCTGGTCTGGGCAGCAGGCAAGCTTGCACTGTCTTTTTCCATCCCTTTTTGTCTCTGTCAGTCCATCTCTCTCTTACTGTTGTCTCACGTGTTATGCTCATTGAAATGGGCAAGAAACAATGCCATCTTCTTTTGAGGTAGATCTCATAAGCATGCCTTGGATGTCTTACTCTTTGTAAGTATTGTTATGGGCCACAAAATTGACTTGGAGGGCCTCACATTTGAGACTCCTGCTTGAGAACATGAATATTCAGTATTTTAGTGGATTGTTATAATATGAGAAGCATGTTCAGGATACTTTGAATAATTATGAAATCATGAACGTTAATTTTCAACTAAGAACAAATAATTGATTGAATTGATAGTAATTCAGAACAGTGGTATTGCAGTGAAATTGCACAGGTGTACATTGTTCATGTAAATGTATAGCTAATGAATTTCTATTTATATTTTTGCAGGTGTCAGCTGCGATGCATGTTTAAAAGGAAATTTCCGAGGTCGCAGATACAAGTGTTTAATTTGCTACGATTACGATCTGTGTGCATCTTGTTATGAAAGTGGTGCAACGACGACAAGGCATACAACTGACCATCCAATGCAGTGCATACTAACAAGGGTAGATTTTGGTAAATGATTCTTGTCTGTTTATTATTTATTTATTTATTTATTTATTTATTTACCTGCTGTCCTGTACTTATAAGTTCAACAAAAATTACTTCTGGCATTTTACCACAAAACAAACATCAAAATAGAGAAACAGAATACATATAAAAGCTAGGAAAAGCATAAGAATCCAATATTATGCACATATTACAGTTTTGCAGACTGTAACTTTAACGTTCTATCAACTAACTTGAATTTGTTGTTGACTGATTCATGCCCCACTGCAGGTTTTGCTCTTATTCATTGGCATCCTCAGGGAGAGGATAGGATGCAAGGCAAATGAGAATGTGTGCATGACTGCCATTATGCAAATACGGCAACTTGCATTCTTGTGTCAGATGGCAAGTACATAAAGGCAGCATTTGCGTGATGACTTCAGTTTCCCAGTTTTGAAAGAAGGTTTTACTTTTGAGGTTTGTTTAGTAGTAACAGTATACCAACAAGCAGATCTTTGCAAAAATAATTAAAACTAAGGTCCTTTTAGCCAACTTATGATTTAAAGCTGCCATGCCATTTAATTGGGAATCAACCTAATTAGACTTTGGGACTCAGACTGCACATTATATAAGGGAGGGTGACTTGGTATGATGTGAATCAGTGCATGATTTGTTTTAAAGCAGGAAAGCATATCTTAAAATATTGTATGTGTTGACTCAAAGATAGCAGCTGCAACTTGGTGTGATGCATTAGTGGGGATGCATGGTGTTTGTTTAGCTTTTTGGTTTTATATTGGTTTGGCTTTGTTGCTTGAGGTTCAATTGTCTCCATAGCAAGAGCATCTGAAAGGGAGGAAAAATGAACCAAGTTGGCTTAGAAGACCACAAATAACTAATACATGCTTTAATTGCAATGCAGGACTGGTCTGGTTTTGCTTCACAGCATTGTGCTATGTCAACTATAGTTTATACAACAAGCTAAGCCAAAACCCAAACAAACCACATTATAGCTTAATCTGGCATGTGAGTCTGGCTTCTTGTACATAGTCAAAGGAAACATGCATAGAGTTATATCTAAAGGTTAGGGGCAAGATAGAGCAATTTGTCAAGAATACGCAATATTTTGAAAAGCAATGCACTTAGGTAAAAATTTATGATCCTATATAAGTTAGTGGGTATTCTTCTTCTACTGTTTGAGTTGTAAATTTGCTTAGGGCTTTTGTGGTTTAAAAATTAGAAGGAAGAGCAAGTAAGACATTAGAATTGTGCCATTTAAAGAGGAAAGAACTAGTATGATAGGAGAAACAAGTTTGAAAATGTATTAGTAGAATGAACATTCAACACAGATTGCTATGAGATTGATTTCATTATTGGCTTCGGTATTTGTATAGCGCTTACTTATTTCAAATCTCTGCTAGAACTGTAGATAATAGAGGGATTGTCATTGCTGCAAACGTGCTCACATTCTGCTTGCAGGTTCTCTGCATGATGGCTCTCACATTAATATCAAAACATTTTATATTTATGTCATGTGAAAAAATGTGACATGCATCAAGGTTGTATGGTATTGGTTAAGGCCATCTTTATCACACACACACACACACACACACACACACAGATTTGTGTTCTGCAGCAAGTTTAGTGAATATATTCCTGTCCTGTTATCCCTTATTGAAGGGATGATTCTGTGCTGCTAGTGCTAGATTGTTAGTACAAAACAAGGAGTAGGAAGACCTAGATTCAAACTTCCATAAAGTTGAATAGGTGAAGCCAATCGACTTCTCCGAGTTCAGATTTTGTGAAGATAAAATGTAGTTGGAATATAACTGTCTCCAGCTTTTGACCACTGAAATATGTGGTAGAGGACTTGGATGAGAAGTAGGGATATGCTGTGCTTTGAGTCTGAAGCCAAAGATATGTTTCAGAGCAGGCATGTAAATACATGTTACATTAGTCTGCACCTCATTAAGGGGCTGCATCTTTTTTGGGGCTTGCACGGCACCTATGTGATTCCCAGGAAAATATACATTTGCATTAAGGAGATGCTGGCAGGGTGCTGAATCCTTTCTCTTGTGAAACATCAGTGCCCCAGGAGCAAGAAATACATTTTGCTGTTGCAAGAATTGCTTGTCTTCAACATCAGAATTACACTGACTTAGAAAAATCAACCTATCACAGTTTTTGGAGATTGTTTTCAAGGGGTAAAGTGTTTCAGCATAAGAATATCTTGTATTAGTTATCAGTTTAAAAATCTCATCCACTTTTTATTTTTCCAATTCTTCAGGAGAAAAATAACTTTAAAAGGGCTCAAAGAAAGAAGGAAACAGTGCCTCTGCTTTTCCATGAAATGTTACATTGCATTCTGTGCATTCACATCTCCCTCCCTCCCTCCCTCAACCTCTGCCTTTCTTTGCTTGCTTTATCTTTTTTCTTGTTGAGTGTCTGCTGCACCTTGACTTCTCTTAGACTTGCAAAAGATAGCCACAGAATTGGACATGTTATAACAATCTAAAATACCATAAATGGGTTTGTATTTAATTTTTAAAAAACTACTGGTTGCTGCATATTAGGTTTCTTGTGTTATTGTATTATTTGTCATCTTTCTGAGTTTGCATGGAAAATCCACAAGTTAATGTTGTTAATTGGTAGGAAAGTCTAGGATTAATGTAATGCCTCAAGTGATGGACAACTGCAGTTTAAAGATATCACTCAAAGCATTTATACATGAGCATCATGCTACAACTGCTGCATTGCTCAAAATGCCTAAATTTTGAAGCCAGAAACTGATCAGTTCAAAATGTCACATAGGCCATGAGCTTGTCTAATGTTTACAGACAAGCTGGAAACCGTAGTCTCACCTGTTAAAATGTCATATTATTGTGTCCTTACTTGTGTAAAATGGGAATAATACCATCAACCAAATTAATTAATAATTATTTAAGGTACAGTGAATTCTCAGAATGTACAAAATTCCAGGGACAACCTATCCTTGACGGATGGCATTTACTTACTCATTGCAGGTATTTAATACCCTGTTTCATTTCCATCTGATGATATCTTTTCTTTTCCTTTTTTGGGAAAACTTTTGTGTAAAAATATGTGTCCGGTTTCACTTTTCTATGAGTTTTCTATAATTCTTAAAATAGAATGTTGATGTTGAAATAGAGTACACTATTTGTGCTTCAGTGTCCTATAATATCTAAACTGACAGTCATTTTTTTTTTTTTAAAGTCAAGAATGAAGGGCAAGAAAAGTTACCTTACAAATACTAATTTGAATATGGCTGTGAGAATTTGCCTCCTATGAAGAAATACATCTTTTTGATATTAGGAACTTACTTTAATTAGGAAATGTGGGCTCCCCTTAAACAGGGGTTTCCAGAACTCTTTCTTTCTCTCTCTCTTTCTCTGTGTACATACACACACACACATACATATACAACACAAATATATGCATACACATACAGTGGTACCTCGGGATACGAACGCCTCTACTAACGAACTTTTCGGGTTACGACCAGCTCCGGCCGCAAAAATTTACCTCGATGTGCGAACTCCGCCTCGGGGTACAGTCATTTTTCCACCCTGACACATGGTCTGCGGCCATTTTTGCGCCCCTGACACGTGGTCCGCAGCCGTTTTCGCGCCGCGCCCGGCCGTTTTCCCGCCCCTGACGTGTGGTCCGCGGACGCCAGAACGGATTGACGGTAATTACATTGAACCTTATGGGAAAATTTGCTTCGGGGTGCGACCAAATTCAGGCGGAGGGCGGAACGGATTAACCGTATTTACATTGAACCTTATGGGAAAATTCGCTTCGGGGTGCGACCAAAGTCAGGCGGAGGGCGGAACGGATTAACCGTATTTACATTGAACCTTATGGGAAAATTCGCTTCGGGGTGCGACCAAAGTCAGGCGGAGGGCGGAACGGATTAACCGTATTTACATTGAACCTTATGGGAAAATTCGCTTCGGGGTGCGACCAAAGTCAGGCGGAGGGCGGAACGGATTAACCGGATTTACATTGAACCCTATGGGGAAATTTCCTTTGGGTTACAATCAACTCGGGATACGCCCAGAGTCACAGAACGAATTAAGTTCGTATCCCGAGGTACCACTGTATATGCATTGGCAAGATTTTTAGAAGTGCTTTGCCACTGCTTCCTTCCTAGGGCTGAGAGAGAGGGACTGGCCTTGGGTCACCCAGCTGGTCTTATGTGTAAGGTGGGACTAGAACTCACATTTCTAGCCTGGTGTCTTAACCACTACGCTAATGGCTTTCTCATATACATACACATATACCTATTCCTTAAAGGCATTGAAAAAATATTGAAAGGTATAGCTAAAACTGATTACATCAGTGAGAAGTATGGGCATATTTTAAAATACTTGACTAGAGTTAATTGGAAGATGTAGTTCAGTACTTGTGGAAAGTGCTAGATATGGGAAGACGGACAGAAAATGCGTGTGTATGTATGTATGTATGTGATTTATATCCTGTCTTTTGTATAGAAGCTGAAGGTGGTGTACACAATGCTGTTTCCTATTTTTTCCTGTAACAACAACCTTGTTAGGGTAGCTGGGCTGAGAGAATATGACTGGCTCAAAGTCACCCAGTTAGCTTATAATTAGCTTTTCTTTTTATTTTCCAGGGCAAGAACACAATGGGAAATGGCAATGAGATACTGAGAGTTCTTGATACAAAGCACAACAAAATGTATACCTATCATTTTTAATTTAATATAGAAAAGTTTGTAGTTTTCCAGCCTGAAGGCCATTGAGGCATATGCAGAATATGGCAATTTGGAACTTCTTCTAGTAAATTAGTGTAATGCTTAACAGTACAGGTAGTCCCCAGTTTAAGAACGAGTTCTATTCCAAGGTCTATCCTTAAGTCGAATTTGTATGTAAGCCGGAACAGTATTATTGAATAATACTGTATAAGTAATGTTGTGTAATTAACTTGAACCATTGTGTATTTAACTCAAATCATTGTGTATTTAACTCAAATCTTGCTACAGTAGGCTT